AGCAGGCAGGAGACCCCCAAAGTCTTCAGGATCTGCAGGGGGGGGGGTTGCTGGAGGCGTTGGACAGAGTATTTAAGTTGGGACCTGGAGAATCTTAGCTGGAGGATTTTTGTCCTTACCAGCCGAGATAGGCTCGCGTGGCTCGAGGGACTCCTTTTACGCAGGCCTGGACTCCAGCGGGATGCTGAGTCCACCACTGGGGCTGGACCCCGGCGTATATCCGGGGCTGCAGCTCGGAGCCCGCTTGCTCATTTTCTCTTCATCTCAAGAAGTTCCAGGAAATGTCACTGCAGAGTTCAGGGCTACCGTTATCTCAGGCCTCACTTCCTGCGGCCTTGACCACGCCAGGGTATCAAGAGGACAAGCTGCAGATGCTCAGCCGGACAGACACTCTGCTTGGGCTGGGGCGTATCAGCTGACTTCCCTGCAGTGGGTTCTCTCCTTTCATTCCAGGGTCTGGTCCCTTGGAAGAGCATTTTCTGGAAGGAGGAGAATTGCCTTGCGGGGTCACGGACACCTGGAGGCATTTGGGATGCAGATGTGTCCGGAGGGCAGGCTGCCCCAGCAGGGCTACCCGGCACCATGCGCCAGTGCCCGGCTGAGCCTGCATCTCCTCTGCTGGGGGGGACAGAGGGCCCCCATGGCCAGAGCTCGCCTGGGACCTAGTCATGGCGGTGCCTCTGAGCCCAGGGTCACACTTGCAGACTCTCACATCTGCCAGTGACCCCAGAGGGGCAGTCAGCTCTGCGGAAGGAGCAGACCCAGGTGGTGGGGAGGGCTGGGTGTGGTGAACGAGCAGGGCTCCCAGGCCTGGGAGGACAGAGGCCCAGCCAGAGGGAATGGCCGCTGCCAGGGTGGGATGGAGTCGGTAAGGAGAGCAGGAGAGACAGAAAGGGAGAAGAAGGGGCCTGGGAGACAGGAAACGGGGCTGAGACCAGACTTCACCGGTGTCCTCACAGGCTCATATGTTTAAGATCCCTCAACGCTGAGCCAAATCCCTGTGCCCCTGTGACAGGACTGGGGGTACACTGGGGGTCATCTCCTTCACGGGCTGACTCGGCATTTGCTCCTGGCTTGGCCCCTTGATTTAAAAGAGGACGAGTGAGTGTTATGGAAAACTGGCTGGTAGGGAAGGAGTCAGTGCCCACCTCGGTGCGATGGGGAAGCCTGGTGAGAGGTTTGCCACTGGGCCCCACGCCAGTGTAGTGGAGGTCTGTGTGCCCAGGAAACGGGCGGGTGGCAAGACCTGCAGGTCATTGCGCTCCCCCAGCCCCTTCGGCAACAAAACCCACTGTAGGCCCCAGTGAGCACGCCCTGGGGGTTCAGAGGCCCCAGGAGCACAGACCACTGTGTCTGGGGACGGGCAGGGGCTCAGGACCCCACATTTACTAGGGGTCGGGGTCGCGGCACAGACCGCCTGCAGTAGGTTCTCTCTGTCATTCCAGGGCCTGCAGGTGCCCACACACGGAGTCTGGCTCCCTGGCACCTGCCAGGCATCAGGCTCCCTGGCACCTGCCAGGCACCAAGCTCCCTGGCTACCTTGGGGACGTTGCTCTGATGCAGCCCCCCAGCCTCCTCGTTCCCTGCCTCCGCGGGCCTGGCTGGCTTTCCTTCCTGCCATAGGGGGCGTTTTCACCTCTGTCGGCCCCAAGCCCTGCCTCGCCCGCTCATGCCAACTCCCAGGGACATTGTGAGGGTCGCGCCAGGCTTGCCCCTTATTGTCTGCACCCAAACACTCAGCAAAAGCTTTCAAGGACCCCTCTTAGCAGGACATGCATGGAGGCACAGAGGGGCCCCCGCTTGTTCTGATGTGGAATTCAGGCTGCCTGGGCCCCTGCTTTTGGCACTTTCCAGTCTGCTGGGTGAGGTGTGTGCATGCTTTGGTCAAGGTTGCTGTGCCTGTGCTTCAGTGACCTTCCCTGAGCAGGGGGCAGAGGAGGGAGAGGAGAGCCACCTCCTAGGAAATGCTGAAGGAGTAAAAGAGCTGCTGCTTTTCACATTTCCCTATTTTATCGCGGGCTAAGTGTACAGACATACCCCTGGGTGCCTAGAAAGGGATTACTGCTTTGAAAATTCCCCAGCCATCATTTTCTCTGGAGAACCCTGCCCTTCACTTACCCAGAAAGAGTGGGGCGTGCGTGCGTGTGCACACACACACACACACACACACACCCTCAGGAAGCCCCTGCCGCCTCCCGTGTCACCCTGCACCCCTCCTTCAGTGGCGCTCAGCTCCCTGGTTTCGTGGGCACACGCAGAAGCATGGAGTGATTTCCAGGGCTCCCTGCTAGCACGGGTGTTGCTCCACCACCTCCCAGGCAAGAGCTCCAGCTGCTTGAGCTGAGAGAGAATGTCCAAAAGCGAGGAAGCTGCCGTCACACCTGCTGGTCTGCCTCTGGCGTGATGGGCTCCAGCAAACGCCCATGGGCACATTAGGCTTCGTAATAACTAATTGTTAATAACTAATCACTGAGTAGAATATTAGGGCTAAGCTGCCCTGCTGGCAGAACATAAAACCCCATCCCATCCTAAACCTGGCTGCCAGGGAGTCTGGGCTTTCTGGTGTCTCTGCTTCCAGCCCACCCACCCTCTGTCTGCTCTGGGCTACATGTGCCACCACTCCCAGCGTCTACGCTTGAAGACGAGGCCCATCGCCGTTGGCTCCGGGAGTGCATATTTCCCCAATTGTCTGCAACGATTGGAAGGTATTTCCTACCACTGAACTGGATAAGATGGTAACTTATGTTTTATGTATTTTACATAAAACAAGTGAGGTTGAACAGTCGGGGCTTGGACATTGCAGGAGATGGCTGAGGCACTAGCTGGCTTTGGGCAGCCCTTTACGCTGTCAGCTGCAGGTGACCTTGGTGCATGAAAAGCGGGGGACAGTCTCCTCGGAGGCTTCCCCCTTTGACATGTGCTCAGTGCGCTCGACTCGGTAGGAACCTGCCAGGTGTTTAGCTCATGATGGTCTCGGGATAGTTCATGCTGGGTAATTAACAGCCCGGATCATCCAGGGACTTGACATTAAAATAACGAGGATTTATGTCTTGCTCATGCCACCTGTTTAGAGAAATCTGGTGGGGATTTCAGCGTCCCAGGGACTCGGGCTGACCAAACCTCATCTTCACTCGCTCTCACATGCAGGCCTGGCACGGGGGGACATATGCAATGTGGCAAATGTCACACTTGTGTCTGCAAGGACAGGGTTAGTGCTGCATCCATGTTTTACTAGCCCAAGTCAGTCACACACTCGTCCAACTGCAGCAGGTAGTGCAGCGAGTTCCGCCTGCCCCTGTCCCAGAAGGACTAGAAAACCAGACTTGGTGGAGTCCTGGTGACCGCTGGGGGCGAGTAGAGGGAGAGCTGAGTTCCCACAGCCCCAGAGCCCTCATCATACCCGCTGGCTAATTTACTTTCCCTACTCACCTCTTTTCTCCTCCTTGAGACTCTAAATATTTCAACTTTAGCTACTGATATCAAGTTTTACTAAAAATGGCTGTGAAAAACCAGCATAGTCCCCAGAGACAAAATTCTGATCATGCTTTTCTCAAATTCATCAGCGCTTCTTGGTATCAGGATCTCATGGGCTGCAGAGGCTGCGTGCTTACTTTGACACAAAATCCTGCTTCGTTCTTGGGTTGCGGAGCAGGCCATAGGTGCAGGGCAGGCCTGGTTTCTTGGGGTAAGTGCCCCAGGCCTCTCCCCCACTGGAAGCCAGTTCTGACTGTCACGAACCCCGCTGTGCTGTCTTGGCCTGCTTTTATATTGTAAATGTTTGTATAAATGCCCCCCCACCCCAGCTAGGCTGTGAGTTCTTTTAGAGCCAGAACTTGATTTTATCCATCTATGTGGAATTGCCTCAAATAGCATTTATTAAGTAATTTTGAGTGGCTCGATGAAGGGAAGTCTAATGCCAGTATCTTCTGAGTAAAAGAAAGGATGGATGGATGGTGGGTGGTGGATGGGTAGATGAGCGGGTGGTGAGTGGTGGGTGGGCAGATGGGTGGGTGGGTGAGTGGGCAGATGGTGAATGGGCAGGTGGGTGGGTGAGCGGGCAGATGGGTGAGTGGGTAGGTAGATAGATGGGTGGGTGGGCGGGTAGGTGGTAGGTGCATGGTTGAGTGGGTGGGTGGGCCAGCATTGCCCCTGCACATGACTAGACTGGTTAACACTGTAGTTCTTAGGTGCCAAGGAGAACTTCCCTGGTCAGAGGCGTAGTGTTGCACTTCTATCGGGTGGTTTCCACGGCCCAGGCTGAGTGTGGGAGAAAGGAGCGACAGGACAGTGGTAGATGTCCAGGGACCTTGCTGGCTAGACTGGTCCGACATCTCCGACTTCCAAAAACAGTCCCCACACTGAGGCATGGGGTCCCCAGGTCCCTAGAGACTGCAGATCGGTTGCCTGAGGCAGCTACAGTCAGAGGGCCAACCACAGAGAGTGTCCGTGGCTGTCCCCTGCCCCGTAGAGGCATCTCATTTCCTCAGCCACGGAGGTAGGATGAGAGCTGACCTGGAATACTGAGACTTACAGATATGTCCTGGAGGTCTTGAGAGGAAGGGACGGCAGGGTGGTGGGAGAGATAGAGGGAGGAAGGCGGAGATTGTGTCCAGGTGGTGGTGGGAGAGGGCACGCAGTGGACATGGCCCTTCCTTCTACGACCCAGACACAGCCTCCTGCTGCCTCTGCCTGGCTCCTCTAGCTCACAGAAAAGTAGACTTGGCACTCTGGAGTTAGAGGTTAGACCTCATTGCCTGGCTCCTCACTGTGTGTGACAGGGGGGCGTGGCTGCAGAGGGCGGCCCGAACGTTTGGGGACCTCTTCTACACCAGTGTCAGGTCGGTCTGGGCACTCACTGGGCCGGGTGGGGCACTGGGCCAGACGATGCTACGTGTGGACACTGGTTATGGGCAGCTGCCAGGACACCACCAGGGCCCCCAGGGAACAACCAGCCCATCTTGCTCAGCCTCCAGGGAATGAGACTCAGAGGCCAAGCAGGTACCAAAGGATAAATGCGCTGTATTAACATGATTACTAATGACAAACGCTGCAGTAGTAAGCACATCAGAGTTACACAGAATATTCTCTATAATCTGAACATAGATATAAAATAAGTTATACTCGATTTTGTTGTCCATCACAGTTGGGACATAGCATACAAAGTGACGGGGCCAGGGACCATGAAGCAAGCTGAGGGGGCAGGTGCTGAATGTAGGGTTTCTTCAAGGACACTGCAGAGTCACGGGGGGGGGCTGCAGGAAACCCCACCTCACACCCCTCAAGTTGGCCTTCTGAGAATAAACACGAGGTCCCGCTTCTGGGCGACAGGGACTGACACTGAGCTGGGATGAGTGTCGAGCTGCTGGGTGGGAGGTGGGGCAAGGATCGGCAGGAAAACGGCCAGCGGGCCGGCCCACTCTCCCGCTGGGCTGCCGGACTGCGGTGATTTGGGAGCACGGGGCCCAGAGCCAGAAGGCCCGGACTGCTTGTGTGATGTGACAGATGGCTGGACTCCTGACCCCTGCAACGCTGGCCACCCTTTCCCTGGCCAGCTGGCTCTGGGAGACCATGGGGGTCGGCAGGGTTGACCCCCGCCCCACCCTGAGCGAGGTTAGGAACCTGTATACCTGAGGCCCTGGCCCTAGGTTCCTCTCCATCGCAGGTGGCCTCTGTGACATTGAGAAGCTCCCCTAAACTCCTCTGGGTGTCATTCTGCTTATCTGAAAACAGGGGCCCATGCACACTTCCGTGGGGGCTGACCTTGAGGGCCATGTGGGATGACCTGTATAGTGAGTTGATACCGGAGTGGCTGGTAAATGTGCGTGGAGGATGAGCATTAATGCCAGAGGCCAGGTAGAAAAACAGGAATCTCAGAAAATCTGTGCAGGGAAACCACCCTGACGGCTTTGAGGAGAGGACAGCTTTCCATTGCTTTCTTTCCTGCAGAAAGATTCTTTCTCTGTGGTTCAGGGATTCTGTGAAATGAGGCACCAGCTGCATTCAAAGCCAGGTTCGCCCAGGAAGGCAGAGCCTAAGCTGGCCTACACGGAGCTCAGGATGGCCCCTCCCTGTCACCATCCCCCTCCCTCACATCTAGGCCTGGGGCAGATCTCACTTTGGGTAGCCAAAGCACAGAAAACAGGGGAAGTGCCTATTAGGTGAAAAGCTTTTCCATCAGCTCAGATTCAGAGCCTCGGGGAGCTGGGGTGGACGGGCCATCTCGTGAACAGCCTCCTCCCAGGGAGAAGAAGGTCTCGTGTAGCTGGCGAGGGAGGGGGCAGGGTTGGAGGCCTGGGCTCGGAACCTGGACCCCCAGGAATGCTCCTGTGCTTCTACCAATGCAAAGTCCAAACAAGCAGCAGCCTGGAATGCTGGGGGGCCGCTGCCCCTCATCTGCAGTGCACTTCTTGAAGTCTGCGTTTGTGTGTGTGAGTGTGCCAGTGTCTCGCCGCCTCTCCCAACTCTTCTACCTCCTGCCTGATCGGAGTCCCCTCCCCGCTCCCCCATCACTCGGCCACTTTCCTCTTGGATGGGGGCAGGAGGTGGGCGGGCAGCTCATTGGGCAGCTCGTGTCCCTCCAGCTTGACCTTGATGAGGTGATTGGCCAGCGCGAACTCCTCGTCGTCCAGCATGCCGTCCTTGTCGATGTCGGCCAGCTTCCATATCTTGCCCAGCACGCTGTTGGGCAGCTTGGAGCGCACCATCTCCTTCTTGGCATTGGCACCCGTGATCTTGCCGTCCACTGGCGAGAGGGTGTAGAAGATCTCGTCATACATGGGCTTGTCCCGGGCCACCACCCACTCGGCGTCGTCGATCCCCTCCCCGGCCCCCTCCCCGTAGCCGTGCCCGAAGGGGCCGTGAAGGGTGCCCTCGAAGGCGCCGCCCTTGACCATCTGCACGGGCCGCTGGATCTCCTCCTGCCGCACCAGCACCATGAGCTGGGCGATGTCATGGGCCAGCATGTCGTCCACCACCTCCAGCAGCTTGCTTTTCAGTGGCTGGAATTTGCTGAAGTCCTGGGCCTGCAGCTGGTCCTGGAAGAGTGGGGAAAGAGGGTGAGGGCAGCAGACGGTGCAAGGAGCTCCTGCCCCTGGCGGGGAGACTGCCTCTAATGGTCCCGGAGTGTGCCCAGCCTGGGACCTGGGGGCGAAGCTCCAGCACAAAATAATAAAAGATGCAAGAGAGGGAAAGGAAAAAGGCACATTGGTGATGGTGGAAGTTGTCAGGAGAGAAAACAGTGGCAGGGGCCAGGGAAGGAAGGGGATTGAGCAAATATTGGAAGGATCCAGTTATTTGGATTTCCTTTTTTTTTAAAAAAGATTTATTTATGCATACAGAACTGGGGTGTATGCCAGAGGTGTGGGTGTGTGAGGATTTGCTAGAGACAGAGTGGGGAGCAGAACAGGCAGATGGACTGAAACACACTGCTGAGGGGAGCAGTGGAGATAGGAGAGGTCTGCTGCGCCATGTGGGTCTGCTCCCTGGCCGGGGATCGAACTTGTGCTGTAGTAGGTGAGGATAGCTTCATAGTGCTGAGACTAACCCCTTGTGCCACCAGGAAGGCCCCTATTTGGATTTCCTTTAATGTTGTTCTAGAAACCTCTCTTTCTGGTCTTTGTGGCTGTTGAGTGGTGGTTCTGGAATGTTCCACTGCCCTGGGACTGGCCATGGAGGCCTCAGTGTCAGTGAGGATGGAAATATGGAAAGATCTTTCAAAGCATTAATGACCTAACTACCTCCAGGGGCCCCTGAGAGGAAATCACAGCCTCTCCTCATGTAGGGAAGGAATCACTGAGACTCAGGCAACTAAAAGCAAGTCATAAGGGAGGTTGACAGACCTCCCCAACCAGAGGTTCTTTGTCAGGATGCTCATGGGAATTACCGGCAGTGAATTTCCAAGCATCAGCTTCTCCCCTCAAAGGGTTCTGGGGGGGGGGGGGAGTAGACACAAACAGGTGTGTTGATTTTGTGAAAGCCCCCCCTAGCCTTCCTGACACCCACCCTGTGTGGTGAAAGAAATGCTCTCCATGTTGCACATCTTTGTGATTTTTTTAAAAAAAATAATATAATAGTTTATTTTTACATCATTTGTCTTTGTGATTTTTAAAGATTCTGAGTCTAGAACACCTAGCTTCTCATGGGCCTCTTGAGTGATTGGGTGAACTTTCTGTTCCTGCCCTGGCTTGACCACAGCAATGTTAGGGCCCTGGGCGGAGGCCAGTACATACACAGGAGCTGGTCTCAGGGAAATGGAGCTCATCAAGAAAACGTCAGAAAACGCCCACAGCTACATGCCAAGAGCAAGTGTTATCATGGACATTTCTCACCTCCCTGCCAGGTCAGGGAGGAATGTGGGTGTGTGGAGGGCAAACAGGCCTCTCCTCTCCAGCCACCTCTGTCAGCTTGTGCACATCTAGGTGTGTCTGGTGTGTCCTTCTAAAGGAGCCCCAATATCTTCCAGGGGGCCTGGTGGTGCCCCCATCTTTGCACACATATGCCTCCCTCCACCTGCAGCCCTCACCCATAGGACGCCATTTACCTGATCCGTTTGGCGTGCCCCAAACAGCCCCAAACCTCGCACTAGTAAACCAATGCCTGAAATGGCGAAACCCATTTTATGTGTGAAAGGACCCCTCACCTTAAAGAGGGGGTGGATGTTTCATTTCAAATTGTCATCTTTCCAAATGTTTGCTTACAGGTGGAACTCAGAGTTAAGGACAGAGCTGAGGAGCGTCAGACCAGCGGACTGAGAAGCCCAGGTGGTACGGAAGCAATTCTGAAGTGACCGATAGCTCTCAGGAGGTGCTGACAGGGGTGAGGGCTACACAGACAAATGCAGGTCTTAAACGTCTGCATATTTTTCTTTTATCATATAAGAAACCTAAAATGCCCCGTTGGGACTATCGCAGGGTTCTGAAACTGTCATCTTCACCTGAGAAACTGATCCCCAAGCTAAAGCTCCCCAAGCTGAAGCTCCAGCAACAGTATCATGACTACATGTGCTATTTTTGCTTTGACTCTCTTATTAAAAGAAAACGTGTTTGCAGTAACCATAGAATCACAGATAGTCTGAAAATTGTACAGGAGGAAGGTCCCTTTTGCTCAGCACCTAGCTTCTCCAGGGTGACATCCTAGCTGGCTTGCCAGACCTGAGAGGCTGTGTCGGGCTGTGCCTTCAAATACGAGCTCATCCTATGACCTAATAACATCCTTACAAAGTGTGTGCTCTGGAAGCCTCTGTTTAGAGAAGAGACAGAGGTTCAGAGAAGATCCAGTTAGCGGGGTATAGCGCTTTCTTGGTAGGACCTTGGGCCGAGCTCCTGGCTCTTCTACCCACAGCCACACAAACATAGCCCTCAGAAAACCACAGGCAGGCTCATGGGCTACCTTGTGAACTACCTTGTCCTCATCTGTATGGGAGGACAAAGCCTCCCTCAGAGGACGCCTGTGGTGAGCGGCAGGAGAAACCACAGGGATGGATCCTAGAGGGAAAGTCTGAGGTAGGGGGGCGTGTCAGAACAGGCAAGCTCCTGTACAGACTGCCCTGGGGCTGCAGCCCAAGCTGCTCCCAAGTGGGAGCCGAGAGACATACTTAAGCGCAGAAAGGCCTTTCAGGTGACTTACCCCATTTTCCATGCTGTGGTGGGACTGCCAAGCCTCATGGTGGCTATAACTGAGGAAGGTAAAAAGCTGGAGGCAGCAGACCCCCAAATATCCTGTAACACCTCTCCCAAGGAACACTGGGACTCTGTGCTCTTCCCCAGGCCCAAATACAGCCCCCGTGAGACCAGCAGCAGCCCGCTGGAAGGGCAGCCGGCCCGTCCCTTGCCTTCTGACTCTGGGCTGAGCTTCCAACGGGGGCATCCCGGGGGGCTCTGCCATGCTCAAGCTGCTCAGCTACTTCAAGTGACACTGCCCCTTTGTCCGGGGACCCCAGGTCCTGCTTACCTGCATCCTCTTCAGGTTGGGAAAGTCCCCAGGTGAGATCTGGTGCTCCCGCTCAATCCGGCCATAAATCTCAGCCAGGTTGTTCACCAGCTCCTTCTTCTTGTTGTCCTTTCCGAAAACTGAGGGCATCTCCTTCTTCAGAGAACTGATGATGTAGGCATGGACCTGGGAACGGGGCGGAGAAACCCTCAGATCAAGACCCATGATTCATTCCTGTCTTCTTGGATGGCTCTACCCATCTCTCCCCATCTCTCCCTCCTGCTCCACCTTCTGAATCAATATCTACTTCCACCCTCCAGCTCTCGTGTTACTTGCAGTGCTAAGCCGTTTTTCTCGATCACACAGGAAAGGTGAGAATCCAGGGAGACTGGTCAAAGCCATAACTAAGATGGTCAACTTGGCATGATGTTGATGCCGTCGGGGGTCAGGAGTAACAGCTACCGTTTCTGGCACTTCAGAGGATGCAGGCTTTCACATTCTCTTCATCTGACTCTATCACCTAACCCTTTACAGATGTGGAAAGGGCCTGGCTGGGGTTGGGGATCACAGTTAGCAAATGAGCTGGACGTCTGATGTTAGGGCCTGTGTTCACCACCGCCATGCCATCCTGCTCCCAGTCCCACGGTTGGCTCGGAGGACCCTTGTGAGATAGTGGCCACAAGAGAGTCTCACGTGGCCAGGATAGTCCAGGATTGCCGATGGCAACTCAGCCCAGAATCAGAAGGCTGAGAGATGGCCTGGGCTGTCACCTGAGCTCTTGAGCTAACCCCTCCCCACATCTGACCCCATGCAGGGTGACCACCTTCCCGGTGGTAGCCTTACCTTGGCCAGTCTGGCTCTCTTGATGAGGTCATTGAGCTTGCGCAGGGCAGCATTCCGGGGCAGGCTCTGGATGTCTCTGAACAGGTCCTGCTCCTCAGCCTCAAAGAGCTTCCGGTTGTCAGGGATGAGGAGGGGGTGAGACCAGAAGGAGCCAATATAGACTCGGATCACCTCTGGGGTGTTCACGATCTTCCCCAGGGACCACATGAGGGCCCCATACACCCGCATCAGCTGCTGCGTCTCTATCTGGTCAGCCTTATTCAGCACCACCCGCATCTTGTCCTCATGGTTCTTGAGGGCCTTGATGACTTCCGAGAACTCGTCAGAGATGTCTAGTTTGTGGGCGTCAAAGAGCAAGATGATGCGGTCTACCCGCTCGGCGAACCACTCGAGGACAGCCGCAAAGTCATACCCTGCGGAGAGGACAGTCAGGGGAGGGGTCTTTGGGTGCAGGGTAAGGCTTGGGGACAGCCAGCCAGTGCAGTAGAGAGCCTCCAGTCTGGAGGTCAGGTCCCAGTGCCTACATCGTCACTATTCGGCGGTGGGCAAGTTACTCAATGTCTTTAAGTCAGTAGTGTTTCATCTACAAATGGGCATGATAATCATACCTCATTAACAGAATGATAAGGACTAAGCAACATGGAACCCAGCACAGAGTAGCTGCTCAGTAAATGCTATGAGCACCTTTGTTCTCATGAAGCACACCACTAGACAGCTCCCTTAGCCTTGCTTATTATAGTTAACTGCTAAGTACTGTTGAAAAAGAGGCTGGGCATATTTTGAATAATTCTTTACAAACAATACAACAGCTAAATGTAAGCTATTGATGGTTCAGCCATGTTCATTACTGATCTGGAAGAAAGCTGCGGTTGTCATAATAACCCTGACTTGTTCTCATACCTGCTCAAGAGCTCTCTTCTCTCCTTACTGGCCATCTGCAGCCCCAGTTTTCCAAATTTTAAACCACAACGGTTTATCCGTTTGGATGTGATGGACTCTGCCGCAGACCTTGGTCATCTGGTAGTGACAGCTTCAGGTCAGGCTGGCTCCAGGGGCCCTAGTGCTCTGCCAGACCCCAAGCAAGCATGGACCTGTGAGATGCTCGAGAGGGAGGGCATGCCCCAGTCTGCATATTTAAGCTAGCCTGTCTAGGTGTCAGTCATTTCCCTTAAATAGGGGCAGATTAAGAAAGCAAGGCTCGGGGAGGTAAAGTGACTTGCTCGCAGACACACAGACCTTGAGAACACAGCACTGGCATAAGAATGGAGGTACCGGGTCCTCCCCCTGCTTCTCCATGGAACAGCTCTAGTCTAGAGGTAGGAGGCCTTCCCTGGCTCTCAGTGCCACAAGGGGATTACTCTGAGGCCCTGAAGCTGATTGCCCCATTCAGTGGGAAACCTAGGCATTAGGAGGATCCAGCTGTCAGAGGGATGCCAGCGACCAGGGCAAGGGCACTAGCGAATCTCATGCAAACGAGTCGGACTCCAGAGGCTCTGACCATCTGTAATCATCCACGAAGGGCCCTTAACTTGAACCTGCGCCAGAATTTCCCAGTGGGCTTGCGAAAATCCGTATGGCTGGGTTATAATCCCAGAGTTCCTGACTCAGCTCATGTTTGGACTTCATTTCACCCTCACACACCCCCTGAGGCAGGTTTGGTGAGGAGCATTAGCCGGCAAGGTGTGTGGTGGAGTGGACATGGTGTCTGGGCCCTGGGCCCTCTGCACATGCTACTCTGGCAGCCTTTCTGCACCTGGCTGTCTCCCTTCCTGCTCTTACTTCTCCCCTCCCTGGCTCTCAGGCCCACCCAGCAGCTTCCACATGAGGCCCTGAGGCCCACACATTCCTGCCCCAGGTGGGCCCTCAGCTCTCTCCCCTTCCCCCTCCAGATATGGTCCCAGGCTATTTTAAATTTTCCCTTTAGCACAGCTCCAGGAGGGCCCAAGGGCTCTGAAAATCAGGGCACGTGATCCCCTGCCCAACCCCCACCATGTAAAGCAGGTCACAGCTGCTCAGTCCTGGAACGAGTTGTCTCAGCGGTGGGGATGGGGACAGCAGGCCTCAGAGGCCTCCAAAACTAACCAGAGACCTATTCTCAAATCCGGCCTGAGCAACCTTGCAGGCCACATGGGGTAGAGCAGCCGGGAAGGCAGGTTGCTGCTCCCTCCCACCTGTTCCCTGCTTTCAGCTCCCAGAGATCATGCACACACACACACACACACATGCACACATGCAACCTTCTCAGCTGGGCAGCTGGCACTGGACAATTGCCTAATTGGGAAATGGAGGCTCAGAAAGAGAAGGGGTATGTCCAGGGCCTGGAAGCGGTAGGGTGGGAGCCGGGATCGAGGGCAGCTTCCGGTCTTCCAACCCCAAGACACACACCCCAGCCCGCCCTCCCTGTGAGGGGAAGCAAACAGGCGCTGGGGTTGCCAAGAGGCTCTGGAAGGAGGAGTCTGGATGAAAAGGTTTGGTGGGGGGAGGGGCAAACTTGATTACCTCCCCCAGTGGGGTGGCATGGGTGCTGTCAGAGTAGGGGGCGCCCTGCTGATTCCTGGCCCCTTTGCTGGGTCGGATAACTCCAGTGTACGGGCTGCCCCTCTGCTGACCCAAGAAATGCCAGGGAGGCTCTCCCCCACTGTAGCCACACCTGGGCAAGGCAGGGGCCAAGCTTGGCCTCCTCCCTAGTCCCCGGCCCCCAGCACTGTGCCTGGCACACAGGAGGTGCTATATCAGTATTTGCCAATCAGAACTGATATGTGAGCCCTGAAATGTGAGCCCCTTTCTGCCTTTTACATCTAGAGCACAGCAAGTCCTCTCTGGGCCCCTGTTTTCTGGTCTCCAAATTAGACCCCACCAGACCCTGCCTAAGGGTCTCTGTGTGGGTCCGGTCAAAGAAGACACAGCAAAATCATTCGTGTGACTGTGGCTGCTCCTGTAGCTCTAGCCCTTCACATAGAGCTCCTTCCAGATGCCAGTTTCCACAGATGGATGTGCTCCAAAGGGGTCACATGGGGTGGCGGTGGAGGTGGGGGTGGGCACCAGCCTGGGCAAGCCCACCTCCAGCTTTCTGTTCTTTCATTAACTTGCTGTGTGTCCTTGGACAAGTAGACTTCTGTCTCTGATCCTCAATCTCTTTGCCTGTCAAACTGAGGGGGTCTGGTTGGCCAAGCCCCTGCTTCTAAGACTGTGGCGTGAGGGTGAGGGGCACAGCAGGAGGCTAGGCACGAGAAGTCCTCGGAGGAAAGGCAGAAAGAAAAATGGGTGCCACTGGGTTCTTCTCCTGGGCCTCCGTGAGGGCTGCTCCTGCCTGAGGACAGCAGATGGCCTTGGGGAAGCATTTTGAGGATGCTTTATAAGCACAAAGGCCTGTCACCTCCTTTCACAAATTCTGCAGGTCCTGGCAAACTGCTTTCAGGTGATAAACTCCTAAGATACTTCCTCCCCAGGTATGGCCGTGAGGACCTTGAACTTCGAGTCATGACTCCATAAGCTTCCTCAGAAGCTCAGCCTCCCTGCTCTGGTGTTAGGAGCCCACAGCCTCCAGCAGGGGTATTTAGTCATTTCTTGGAAGGGCTTACGAGAATCCTGGAACAGGAGCGCCTGAAAGGCATGGGCTGGACTTGTTAAAGCAAAGGGAATAGACTAGCTCTCTCCTTTATTTTCTGTGTGGCCTTGGACAAGTGTGGGCCTTAGTTTTCTCGGCACTAAATTGGGCTAATAATGACTCTGTGGTGAGAGTCAGTGGTAGAGCCTTGACCTCAGGCTCCAGTGCAGGGTGGGCCTGGGCTCAGTCCAGGGGCTCTGTCCTAACATCTGGGGTGATGAGATGCCCAGGGACAGTCCCCCCTCCCTCACTGGTCTCAGGAATGGCCGAGACCCACAGCAGAAAGGTAGGAGGTCTTGAGCACCTGCAGAAGCCCAGGGGCATGTACATGAGGGGGTGGGGAGCATCGAAGTCCCAGAGACCCAGTGGCTCGCGGCACTTCCTGGAATCACTTACAGCTAGCTGGCCGGCTCCACAGGCACCAGCCCAGTGTCTGGGCAGCCTGCAGAGACCTGGGGCCCTCTCCACTGCTGTCTCCCTCCCCATCCTTGCTCCCCCTCCCCAGGCTCAGAGCACTGGAAAGAAAGCATTTCTAAGTACTTCCAGGCAGGAGGAAATCAATGAGACAAACACAATAAGCAAGGCGACTCCTTCATTACCCACTGGCTTCCGTCTTGGTGACGTGAGACATGGAGGCACTAAATGGGCAGACACAAGATCTCATTTGACCCTTAGAATTCTCCATATGCCGGGCGGTAATGGGCCACAGACATCTTAGAGGGAAGGGAGAAGGGAGGGGTGAGGGTCTGCTCCAGCATATATGGCCAGGGGCGGGGAGCACAGAGCTGGAGCCCTGAGGCCCTGCTCACAACCCCCTTGCAGCAGGTGGGTTGAGCCCTCAAACTAGCTCCCCAAACCAAACTCAAGTTTTAAAGACATTTTGGCAAATAGAAAGGCAGCTGTTTCTACAATGTGCAGTCAGAGTTGACATGGCACTGGGGACCCACAGCCACCCTACATGCCGTCAGAAGTAACCCTGAATGCGGCCCCACAGTCATCACAGGCTCCGACCTCGAGGCTGTCAGGGAGCCTCTGGAAGGCCGTCAGGGCCCTGCTCTGCCCAGCGGCGATGCCCACATGGACATGCGTGTGCACCGCGATACAGGTGTCAGGGACTGGCCAGGGGTGTGAAGTGGTGAAGGTCAGCACGGCCCCACCAGGGCCCCCGGGAAGCTTGTCCATGACAGCCTGCCCTTGTTCCTGCGCCCCAGCCTCTGGGCAGGCGACACCAGGCAGGAAGACGTGGGCTGGGAGTCAGGAGACCAGAGGCCGCCCTCCAGGGCTGGGACCTGGCAAGGCTCTACCTGCCCTGGCCCCGCTGACTCACCTGTTCAGGAAGGGCCTTCTGGGGATGCTGGGAACACCACACCCACAGGGCTGCTTTTCCAGGGTGGACACTGCTAGCTGAGAAGCGGCAGGAAATGTGGTTCCCAAGTGTGAGGACACTCAGGTTTCCGGAGCCTCCCCTGCTGCTGCATCCTTGTTCCTTCCCAGTAGTGAGCCCTGGGCTGGGCCCATCCCGTCACTTCCAGGAACTGCCCCCTTGGCCCTCTGTGGCTCACCCCAGTGCATCTGCAGGCCTGGGACTTCCCAGGACCGGGTTCCTGGATGTCTCCCCCACCACTCCTTCCCCTCTTCCCCCAAGACACTCCCAGACCCAAGTCCTGGCAGAGACAATGCCCGGAACAAGGACTGTGCTTGCCCAGGCCTGGGTGCCCGAGTGTGCCTTCCTCCTGTGGCCTGGGGGGCGCTGGGAACAACTAGCTTTTCAGATGGTGCCCAGGGGCCCCCCAGACACAGGCCTGTGCCTGGAAGACAGAATGTGGGCCAGATTTTAGGCCCTACGTGCTCCTCAGCCAGGTGCCCTCAGGAAGGGGATGGTCCTCAGTCCGTGGGCTGGCTGGAGGAAGGGAAGAAGCTCCAGATATGAGCTGCACCCAGACCCAGACGCTGGAGGGCCCCAGAAGCAGTCCTATGAAGGGTGTTTCTGGGTACACCCATGCCTGGGGGTGAGGGGTGTGTGTGTTGCTGTGTAGGTGTAACAGGAGCTAGCAGGTGCCACGGCCGAGTGGGAAGGACGGGAAGGGGCTGCTTACCGAGAGCTTTTCTGAGAGCAGAGAGTGTCTGAGCCCCTTCGCCCAGTGCCGTGTCAGCACTGCCGAGGCTGGCGATGCGATACGGGCAGCCCACCGCCAGCTCGTGCTATTACCTCAGGCTGCGTTTAGTCTGCACTCAGGAAAGCAGAGCACAAGCTGGCCTCTGTAGCCACTCATGGGGCCATGGCTTCTCCCAGAAGTGTTGTGAGATCTGGTGCTTAGGGTGGGGTGGGGTGGATAAGAGAAGCGGGCAAGAAACCAAGCACCCAAGTGGCAAAGGGCGTCTCTGAGGTCCAGCGATGAAAGCAGGAGAGACGGCAGAGGCCAGGCAAAGCCTGGGAAGGGGCAGGGGCTGGCGGGGTCCGGCGCAAGGTTGCCACAGACAGCTGCACATGCTGTGCACTGCACAACTGGAGGGAGACTGCCCACATAGTCTGGGGGGCCCTGGGGCGATGGCTGCCAGATAAGGGCGCCAGACGGGTGCTCACTGTGATCCAGACTCAGAGTTGGGGTCTGTGTTCACAGTACCCCCCTGGACCTTACAGAGCCGTGTGACGGGTACCATTACCCCTATAGTACATGGGTGCTTGGAGCCTCGAGGAGAAAGTGTGACCTGCTGAGATCCACGCAGGATCCACAGCCCAGCTCCGGGCTCCCCACCCAGGCTTCTTGGGACCCCAAAGATGGGAGCTGTCTGGACCGACCTGCTGGGGGCACAGACCCCAACTCCACCCCCAGGTAGAGCAGACTGGGGGGCTTTGCCTCTCTGAGATTTTCCTGAGGAGATACAGGCCCTTGTGGAGCAGTACGTCCCCTGGAGGCCCAAACTCAGGGTGAACCCCGATGCTGGGGAACAGACAGAAGCAAGCAGAGAGCCGTCCATGCTAGGCTCCACATGGGCTACCCCTGGGCAGGGCAGTGGGGGTTTCAAAGGGCAGGTAAATTGAGAGAGAAGTGGCAGCAACACCCCTCTCTGGGGACCTGTGGTTTCAGACCCTCGGCACCCTATGCCCAAAGGTAGGGAGCGTGGGGTCCAGGCTCCCCACACCCCCTTCAGGGAGGCCTTCCACGGACCTCCTGCTAACACAGCTCCCACAGCCCCTGCGGCCTCCCTGCTTTCTCTGCCTCTTCTTGCCAGGTCTCTTCCCTCAACGAAAGGGGAGACAGTAGGGTCAGGGCCTGATGAGGCCTCCAGCCCAAATCCTACACCCCCCTTCCCTCCCCAGGAAAAGCAGATTCGGTTTTCCCTTCAGACGACTGCAGGTCACACCCGAGCAGGCTGCTGACCTGGGGGGCCTTGCCCACTCCCGTCCCTCCTCTCCACCTCCAGCCAGGGCTGGCTCACATAGTAGCCACAGCGGAACCCCAAAGAGCCCAGTTCTGCCCCCCACCGCCTGCCTTCGTTAGAGAGTGGTCTGCAAGAGACAAGCGATCTTCTCAGAGAAGCCAAGGCAGCTGGCAGGAGTTCTGGACAGAGGCCCAGTCTGGCACTAGTGGCCAGCACCTGGCCGGGACTGCAGCCCCAGGCCCCCTCAGCACCCCACATGGGAGCCCTGGCCTGTTGCCTGTGAGGCTATGGGCACCCCTCAGGGCCTAGGGGTGAATGGACGCCAGTCTGTGCAGGCCATGCCTCTGGTAGGAGGCTTGTCTGCACCCCCTGCCCCCCACCTATGTGACAGAGCCCATGGGCCACGGAGCACAGGAGCTGAGCACGTGGAGGGAAGCAGGCACCCGGGTCATTCAGGTGGCAGTCCCGGCCGCTGCCCAGAAAGCCTTGTCAGGCTGGTGAAGCCTTTTCTTCCTGGAGGCTGGCTTCTGAGTGCCGAACTGGCTCTACTCCAGCTCCAGTAGGGGATGGGTGTGGTTCATCTACTTTTCTTGCCCATGATACAGCTCAGGGCACAGAGAGGGCAGGAGGCTTCCCGGGGCACACAGCAGGCTGGGCTGGGCTGGGAGGGTGGGGAGACAACACAGCCGATTTAGCTTTTATAGCATCAGTCCAGCACTGCAGAGCGAGGGAAAAGTGAGGATGATGATGGATGACGCCGAGTGTTTGCTGGGCACCTGCTATGTGCTAGGAAGGTGTTTTCCTGTTGCTTCAGTCCTCAAGCAGCCTCATATGGAAGGTAGAATTATGTCCCCTTATTTATAAATGAACCAACTCAAGCAAGAAAGCTGCGGAGTTCACTCTGTAGGAGCAGGACCAGCACAGACCCAGCAGTTGGCTCCAGCTGCTCTCTCCCAGCCACCAGCTGGGACGTCCCCTGCACGCATATCCTTCTGTCTGGAGTGAACTGTTTTCTGAGCTTTTCCACCTACCCAGCTCCTGTATCCTCTGGAGCATACCTAGAGCTGAAGTTTTCTGCAGGGACCTCAGAAACACCAGGGTCTGGCTGGTGAGTGAGGGAAGAAGGGCAGACACTGATGCCTGCACTCTCCAGGCGAGAAGAACCGAGCCCAGCTGTCCCCTGAGTCAGACCCAACCCTGACTTAACCCAGACCCCAGCACAGGAGTGCAGGCTTCTCAAGGGAAGCCAGGCCCTGGGGTGTGGCAGCCAGAGACCATACCGCAGAGAAATAGCACGAGCCAGAGCCAACCTGACAGGTGCCACACTCACCTCGGCTGATCCTCTGCTTCTCCCCAGAGAGGATGCCCGGCGTGTCGATGACGCTGATGCTCTCCAGCACGGGGTTGGGCAGCTGGGCACACACGAACCTGCACCATGGAGGAAACCTGCTGTGAACCACTGGCCCCTCGTGCTGGTCACGCGTGTTTGTGTCTGTCGCACGCCAGCCTTCCTGCCCCGGGCAGAGCTTCAGAAGCCAGCTGCCTTCCAGGGCAGACGCCCAGCCTGACGCTGGCAGTGGGCTCTGCTCAGAGCAAGCTCCCTGCTGGTCCCAAGGTTCATGTTTGTTAAGCCCTGCTGGGAGGTCTCTCTGACCCCAAAGGTGTAGGGAGGAGGTATGCTCATCAGCAGCCCCAGGACGAGGTCCGAGGGGACCAGCACCCCAACCTTGGGAGATCTAAGGTGGCAAGATGGCTTCCCGGAGGAGGAGGAGGCACTGGCGCTGGTCTGGAAGAATGGGTCAGATCACCCTGGAACATTCCTCTGGGATGTTCCATCCTAACACCAGCCATTGTTATTAGGGTGATGTCAAGCCATATTCAAGAAACTATTCCTGTTGTTACATCCTAAGTCTCAAAATACAAATTGGTAAACTAACTACGATTCTTCTTACCCCAAATCTCAATTATATTTTTGATGGGAGGCAATAAGGTATCTTACTATCACACGTACCCTGAGCTTCTGCTATCCAGGGACACAGCTACAGAGATGCAGAGGACTCTGAAGCACCCTGACAGCATCTAAGCTGCAATAGATGACCAAAATTTATCAGGCATAGCCCGAGTGTGTGTGTGTGTGTGTGTGTATGTGTGTGTGTGAGTAGAAGAGAGAAGGCAGCATTCTAGACTGAGATAAGGGGTGAAAGTACAGTGCTAATAGGTTTAATCATGTGCCCCAGAGTTATGTTGATATCTTAATCCCCAGTAAGCTTATTTGGAACAAGTGACCTTATGTGGAACAAGGGTTGATAGAGTAATTAGGATGAGGTCATATGAGAGTTGGGTGGGCCCCTAATCTGATAGGACTGGTGTCCCCATAATGCAGGAGAACACCACATGGAGACACACACAAAGGAAAGACGGTGCCATGAAGATGGAGGCAGAGACAGAGGGATGCTGCCACAAGCCAAGGAATGCCTGCGCCACCAAGAAGCTGGAAGGAGCCAGCAAGGTAGTCCCCTAGACACTTTATAGGAGCATGTCAATACTTTGTCTCTGGACATCTGGCCTCCAAACAGTGAGGCAGCAGTAGGTTTAGGCCACCCACTTTGTGACAACTTGCTATGGTGACCCTAGGAAAGTATAAGCTGGTGGAAATGCGGCAGGGGGCAGGAGGACAAAATATACACCATCACTCACACATCCCTGGAGCAAGAATGGGAAGACTGGATTGGCCAGATATGGATGGACAAGGAGTGGTGCTAAATCACTAAGTCTTCAGAGCCACATTAACAAATCTGGATTATACATTAAGGGCAGAAGAAACTCACTGGGACACCGTCAGCAGGTCCAGTTCAGTTCAGCAAGTATGTATGGAGTGTCATTATGTGCCTGGCACCATGCTACAGGATGAGGCTGGGGTCAAGGCATCAGGCAGACTCAGCAGATGGAAAGGGAAGGGCCAGGAACTGAAGGTAGGCCAGACTGAGGGCGACATCAGGTCATAGGAACAAGAGCCAAAAGGCACCACAGAGAGACTGGGGAGACCCTGGCCAGGGGAGCAAGAGCACTGTCAATGAGCTGAGGGGACAGTGGTGGGACAACAGCCAGGGAAATAGGGAAGGTCGGTGCCCGTGTTATGGTAATTAAGAAGTCACCCACCAAGAAGCTTGACTGTGAAAGGTACAAAGTGGGTAGAGTTCCCTGTAAGTTTTTCAGAAGAGATATTTCCTGGAGGAAGAGAGGGAGTCAAGGGAGGATGGAGTTGTCAGAGAGAGGAATAATCAGTAGGGCTGTCCCTGAGAAGCTGGCCCCAAGCATGGTGTTGGGGGGAGGGGGAGGAGCTACCCCTGGAGCAAAGGGAGGTCCTGGCTTTCTGCAACCTCAGGGAAGGAATAAGGAGAAAGTGAAGACCCCCACTGATGAATAGATTGTAAAAAACCAACCTGATGGAATCAGGGGCTCTGGCTTCATTTATCTAGACTAGGAAGCAGGGTCATTGTGGCCTGGGGTAACACAGAGGAAAAGAATGGGGACAGGAAATGGGGCCTCTTGACAGGAACTGGGGGAAACCCACATCTGGGTACAGCTTCCCTGTGCGTGGCTGCAATGAAGCTGGTGGCACACAGAAGGGGTCCAGTCTCACATCCCTGTTGTTCTCCCAAAGGACCCACAGTCTGACAATCTGCCTGTCGAGAGCTCCTGCAGAAAACCAGACCTCGCAATTCCTTCTGTGTCCTGTCAGAGGGCTCCTGCTCAACCAAGTCCTCCCATTCCTCCCCCTTATTTTAATTCTCCAGTTGTCTCTGCCTGGAATGTCCTTTTTTAACCCTTTCAGTGTCATCTCCTTGCTCACTGAACACAGGTGCCAATGTCCAATGCCAGTTGTCCACTAAGGCAGCCTCAGCCTTCCTGGCCCTGGTCCTGGCCGGTTCTCCAGGCATCTGATCCTGCTCAGCCTCACACCCCATCAGAGCCAGGCCCAGGGCCAGGCGGGTCGATGTCTGCTGAAATAAAACACGGGTTCTCTCATGAATCCAGCAAGACCCAGGGAGGGAGTGAAGGTTCTTTTGCCTCCTGACCAGAGGCAGAGAGGGGCCCTTCTAGAAATTCAGGATCTTGTTTGAGTCTGCTTCAGGTTAGACACTTTATTCATTGACATCACAGACTGAAAGAGATCCAGACAGCTGAAGCGTGTCACCTTCTCTGTTTGTATCGTTCTTTTCCTATCACTTTTATATACAGTTTTTGAACTAAATCAAATATGCAAATAGCAAAAATAGCAGTTCAGCTAAGTGTAGGAAGTAAATAGGAAGGTCTCCCTTGTTCTTCACCTCACAACCCACTCCCTAAATGGAGCCACTGTAAACAATTACAGGTACCACTTGAAATTCATTTCCTAGCACTGGCGCTCACATGTTCTTTACACAATATTTGCCAGAGATTATAGCACAGAGGGCTTGATTTCTATTACTTGTGGATGAAGAGACTAAGACTCAAAGAAGTTAACTGTTTCTACCCCGGGTGAAGCACTCCAGCTTCACCTCACACACACCTCCTGATTTTACTGCGTATAAAAATAGACTTGTCGAGACTTGCTGGGCAACTAATACAGAAGGGCTCTCAGCTCGTGAGAACGCACCAACAGTAGGATGCTAATCACAGATTCTGTTATCAGAACAGACTAGACGCTATGACACAAACTACCACATACTGCTGTTGTCATTATGAGCACACTTATTTCAAAGTGGGGTTAACTGCTGAAGCTTCACTCTGTTTTCCAATGAACCCCACTGCTCTTAGATCCAGTCCTTTCTCTCCTCTCTCTGGGACCCTCACCACTCGCCTCAGATGGTCTAATGCTTCTCAGTGGACCCACGGCCACTGCAAACTCAATGTGCTGAAGTCAAATTCATCAGCCACACCCCTGGCAGGCTCCCCCGGAACTCCCAGCCTCCGCTCACTTATCCTGACTCATCCTCCATCATGTTCTTCAGGTATTAGAGACATGACTCAGGGCTACCCGCCTCACTGCACCTAACACCATCACCACCTTAATCTTCTACCCTAGACGCACAGTTTAATAAACCACATCAAATTCCTGAGGACTAGTTACTTCCAGGCCAAATCCCAAGATTTGTTAGCAAGACCCTTCCCAGGCATCACTACTTCAGAGCACCCCCTTCCTGTGCACAATTCCCACTTTCCTCAGACGGGGTGTCCCCTGTGACCCTCCCTGTCCCTGTCTAGGGTTGCTACTGAAGAAAGATGAGAGACAAGCACACGGCTTGGTACGAAACATCCCTCAGGATGAGAACCCTTTGGGCACTGAGCTTCAACTTTGACAAATAGGAAGTGGCACCAGGGGCTTGAGTAGGCCCTCAGTGGATGGCACAGGGAGGCGAATGAAGCAGTATGTGGTAACACTGGGCAGCCTGACACGACCTGTTTGTGTGCTATGTTCCTGGCACTAAGTGTTCCCTGCTCAACATCTCACTTATTTCTCCTTTTAGTCACTGGCAGAAATTAGAACTATTATCCTATTTTACAGGTGGGGGGAGGATGGCACAGAGGAGTTGGGTGCAGTTTCTTAGGTCAGTGTTGCTATTCAGTTGGATTTTTATTTTTTCTTAAAGATTTATTTATTCATATAGACCTGGGGTACAGGCCAGAGATGCGGAGGGTGAGAGGATTCACCAGAGACAGAGCGGGGAGCAGAACAGGCAGATGGATGAAGTACACTGCTGAGGGGAGCAGCGGGCAGGTCAGGAGAGGTCTGCCGCGCCATATGGTCACCTCTGCGGTGGGGATCGAACTCATGCGGAAGTGGCTTCAGCTTCTCAGTGTGGTGCTTTAACTCACTGCGCCACCAGGGAGGGCCCTTCAGTTGGATTTTAACCTAGGTCTGTCTGAAGTCAAAGCCTTTACTTTTGCTCTACCTCCAGTTGAAAGTCATTGAAAAAAATGCTCAGTGCCATGCACATGCAAACACTGGGTCCAGTGACAAGTGTGATGGATTCTGCCTGCAGGAATCAGGAATCATGATGGAAAGGTCTGGGCCAGCTTGACCGCAAAGCTTTCCTCCAGTCAAATCTTGACAATCAACTCCCTACCCCCCATATCTGTAGACTTAGATGCTTCCTAGGGGAGAGGAGTTGACTTGTCCAAGGTCACATAATTAATTTATAGGAGGCTCAGTGCTCAAAGTCAAGGCTTCTACTTTAAGTCCTGAGTCCTTTCCACAAAGTAGAATAATGTCCTCGGGCTCCTTTCAGTTGGGTGCAAGCCCAGTCCCCTCATGCTGGGGGATTAGCCAGAGTAGCTCCTCAGGTTTTTACTGAAAAGAGGTACAGACCTGGGTGTGAGTTAACTCCTTGTGCCCTTCCCTGCTCTGTGGCCAGGAGTCAGCCCAGATACAGCTCCCTCACCCTTATCAATGGGGGTCACACTCAATCACACTCCTAGCAAGAGAGGAACACTCAAAGAGACACCTTGAGTATTTAAAAAGCACTGAAGCTCCCCAAATCAGGCCCTGCTTTTCATTTCCCATCCTCCAAGAAGAAAAGGAAACCCCCAGCACTCACCTGTTCAAGAAGGCATTGCCAAAGGCGTTCAGTTTCCGGAAGGGTTTCTTAGGGTCCACCACCAGGGCGTTCCCTGGGACGATCCCCTCCACCTCTCCCTGCATCACCGCGATGAAGGAGTCAGTGGTGGGCTCGGGCCCGATCCTCATGCCGGGGAAGTCCTGTTCCAGCAGGTACCTGGCAGAGGGGAGCATAGTCACAATCAGACTCCCAGCTCCTCAGGAAGGTGAGGGGCCACACAGGGGCAGACCCGGGCCATGGGCTTTCAAGACAAGGAGAGGCCACTCCCTCTCAGACAAGAACCCAAAGACCAGCTGAGGAGGGGGGATTGCAGCTGCTCTTCAGATACCAAATCTGTCCTTTTAGGTGCTTATTCCTTTTCCTCCCTGAGCCAGGACCAAAAAAAAAAAAAAAAAAAAAAGCAAGAAACAAAGCAAGCCTTGACACTGACTCCTTCGTGGAGGGCCAGAGACCCCATAACTGCAGGCCGTGAGGGTGGCTGACATGCCCTCAGAAGGCAGCCGGGGTCAGTCCATCCATGGACTCTGCTCACGTTCCTCAGCCCCTTATAAATTTACCTGGTTAGTCAGTCATTTGGTGTAAAAAATGCTGTCATATGATACAGTAAGAAGTGGATTTCCTGGACTTTGGGCCCCTCTCTGCATCAGCTGTGACCTGAGGTGGCCGTCCCCTCTGGCTCTTTGCCTGGGCAGCGAGTCCAAGGCCAAGTGTCCTTCTCCACAGCCCCCTTTAGAAGCCAAGAGCAACATCACACGTGAGCCAGAGAATGAAGCACAGAGCCTGAGAGACAACCAGGCCCTTTCAAAGGAGCTCGGAACAGCTTCGAACCCAAACATTGTAAGTCTGAACCCAGGACAGAGCCCACAACTGCTGAGGGCTGGGACTGGCCCGAGGAGAGTGCCCAATGCACCTTCCCAAGCCAGAGTGGACCAGGAGGCAAGGGATGACCCCTGGGATGAGCCCCCATTGTGGCTGGAGTCTCCTCCTTTAACCCTGCATATTCATGCTTGGAGGGAAAAATCAAGAAACCTTTAGAGAAAGTTCAAGTCAGAGTCTGTGAGGTCAGGAAGGGAACCTGGGACCTCCTGGACGAGGGGTCCCCAGCCCTGGTGCCCCCTATAGCTCTGGCGGATGGAGCCAGGGTCCCAGCAGAGGTTCTGATCTGTGTGCCCTGGCAGCTGGTACCTTTTAGGACTTTCCCCACTGAGCTGAATATGTAGCTAGGGTTGACAACCTGCTGTGAGCCACCATTCTCATTTTACTGGTAATCATCCCTGACAGTAGCATTTCCACCTGTCAGGTGTTATTCTGATCACTTCAAGAACATCGCTTCCTTCAGCCTTCCAGCAGGAGTTCTTGAGAAATCCAAGACTGAGCAGGCTTATGCTGCTCTCTCCAGCTGGAGTGGACCTGGAACCCACATCCACAACAGCCTAACATCTGCCCTTCAACTGTCTTCTACGCTGAGGGAATGCCTGCCAGAGAGAGTGGGTCACGGCCCCACAGAGGTCTGGGCAGAGCAGGGACTGCAGGCCACATCTACAGGGCCTGAGCTCTACAGGCCAGAGCTCTACCTGACCAAGGAGAACCTGGTGCAGCCAGCTCAGCCCGACAGAGCCGTGGCTGGGGAGACCTGCTGGAGCTTCTTCCGGCTTGGAGACATCTGCTTGTGCCTTCGAGAAGTGCTCCCAGCTGCTAGTTCTGCGGAGTTCCAGGGCAGGGTTGCCAAGGGCTCCCTCCCCAAGGAGCCTGCCTCCTGCCTCAGAGCTCTGCTGGGCCCAGGAGGCCACCCCAGGCACCGAGGGTGTCAGGTTGCCTCAGGAAGCCCCTCATCTCCCTCTGGGATCCGGCCCAACAATTTGGATGTGAAGGCAGGATTTCCTACTGTTGGGTGACCACTTTAAACCTATCACTGGGGGTGTGAAGAGAATAAATGACAATAGCTGCACACCTGAATGGGACTTCCTGCCTCCCTGTGCCTTCTCCTTTAGGCGGGGGAGCTCAGCTCCTGCAGGCAGACCTGGCTTCTCCAAGCACTCACACTGGACTTCTGGGGGCCCCACACCTCCACTTTCATAAAGCAGACAGCTGCAGTGCACCAGGTACTGTCTGGACTCTCCATGGACAAGCTCCTTTCATCTTCATGTCTCCTCTGATGTGGACACTATCGCCCTTATCAGATGGGTGTAGTGAGAAAACATACCTCCTAGGATCAAACTATTTACAGAGCTGAAGACTCAGTATCAAATTAGTTACAGCCTCTAAGCACTTACATCAGTCTCCCACAGCCAGACTGCCATTGCATTTTAAGATTTATTTATGCATACAGAACTTGGGTTATAAGCCAGAGGTGCCGGGGTGCTGAGAGCATTCACCAGAGACAGAGTGGGGAGCAGAATAGGCCAACTGGTGAAGTACACTGCTGAGGGGAGCAGCGGGGAGGTCAGGAGAGGTCTGCCACGCCATGTGGGTCACCTCTGGGGCGGGTTTTGAACTCATGCTGAAGTGGCCTTAGCTTCTTAGTGCTGTGCTTTAACCCACTGCACCAGGGAGGGCCTGCTATCACATTTTAAAGAAGAGAAAGACTCTCTCTCTCTGTCTCTCTGTCTCTCTCTGCCTCAGATTATGCCATTAGTAACTAACTGGGCTTTTGAATTTGAACTTGGCACTTAGACTGCAAATTCAGGCTCTGAGCCACTACATTCACTGTCTCCTTTCCTACCTTGACCAGGAAGCGGGCACAGGCCAAAGCCCTGAGGTCCTCATGGCCTGCAAGGAGGAGTGACAAGAAAGCCACAAAGGACATGGTTTGGCAGGAGGCTGGCCAGGGGTCAAGCTTGGGGGGAAGGTTAGGCCTTGGGGCTCAGGCGCCCAGGAATGCACTCATTTGCATGAGCACTCAGCTTTGGGGTTCATAGCTCCACAGCTATGTGTGCACAGGTGTGTGCAAGAGCTATAGCTGGATGGAGAGAGCGGACCCCAGGTCCACTGACTCCAGGAGGACACTTTGGGGACTTAAAAATAATTGTAGGGTCCGATTCTCCTGGGAAGTAGTTTCATGAGACTCAGCACCGTGATTGGGAAACCCACCCATTTTACCTGTGTGCGAGGAGCATCTGCCTGAAAGGAGCCATGGGTGAGAAGACAGGGCCATGCTGGGGCAAGTGTGAAGTCTGGGCACATGCGGGTGGTGGTTCCCGTCCAGGTCTGGGGGCAGCTGGCAGGGGAGGCTGAGTTGGAAGGGAACAGTTCCGCGCAGCCTTGAGAAATCCCAGCCTTCGCAGGCCCCATGCGGGGAGAAGCGTCTTTCTGACACAGGCATCTCAGGTTTCATCCCGGACGGGAGACCCTGGGTATCAGCAGATGGGCCGGGACGGGGCCTCCCAGCAGAGCAGGGCACTGTCCCTGGAGCTACAGGCTAGGGCGACCAGCAAGGGTGTGCTGTGCTGCCCTCTCAGCTAAACCCACACGTCCCCAACTTGCTGACCACACACAGGTCTGGAGAAACAGTGTAGCGAAGCCACCAGCAAGTCCAGGGACACAGTCCATGCAGCGGGCCCAGGAGCGGGGTGAATTCACAGGGACTACGGGTCCGGCCAGCAGCACCGAGTGCGCCCTGAACAAAGCAGCTTCTAGGTCCAGAGAGAAAACAGGGCTCATCATGGCTTCTCTGTGGGAAGGGGCACAGATCGCCTATGTCGCCAGGCAAAGACGTTCCCACAGCGGTATAAAGAAAGAAAAATTAATGCAAGCCTAGGCGGAAGGGCAGAGAGGAGGACCTGCGTGAAGAAGGGGGGACAGCAGGGGCCGAGTGCCCAGGGTGGAGGGGCTGTTCTGGAACATTTACGCAAATTGGCCCACTGGGTCAGTCCTACAAATACTCTGGGGCAGCAGCTTCACCGAAGCTTTGCAGGGCACAGCTCTGAGATACAGGCTCTGCACAGGCAGGGCCAGATGAGAAAGGAGAGGGTTTAGAAGGTTTTTCCATCCAATGCAAAATAAATAAGCACGGACCCTAAAGTGGTGGCGAGGCAGCCCAGTGCAATGCCGACTTCCCTCACAGGGCTCACATTTCTGCATATTCTTCTTAAGGAAATGAGTTCATAGCATTTCCCTCATGTGTTTGTGTCCTGCCTGGTTGGTACTCTAAGCCTGTGGCCTGCTTCAGTGGTGACCCAGGCACCCAGGGTAAGGCATGGGGCCAAGAGTCTAACATTCTGCTCCAAAGTTCCCCTCTCTGCCATGGGGCCAGAGCTCAGGCTGCTGCGGAAGGCACCAGGGTGCCAGGGCGGGGTGGGGAGGAAGCACCTCGCGGGCAGAGAGGGCCTTGGACACCCAGCCCCGCAGGCCACTGCCTCGGTTTCCCTGACTTATACAGTGGAGATAATGATTGTTTTCTGGTGAGATCAGAAGAACAGAACGAAGGTTTTGAGATGAGGCGTGTGAGGTTGGGAAAAACAGAGGTTACGTGCCCAAACAGGCAGAGTAATTGGAGAAAGGGAACACCAGAGCTGCCTCTAAGAACTCAGCACATTACTACTCCAGACCTGTCCCAGTAAACCCCAGGGCCCCCCCCGTAAAGACTTAACGGGCTCATTACCACCTTACTCTCTTCCCTGAAAATCACACAGCTCTTCACTCGTTATCTTCTATGCTACTTTGTGCCTTGTATGATTGAACATATATATTTGCTTAGATAGCTTCATTTTAGTCTCACGAAGCATTGAGGACTTCAGCTTTAAAAAGGGGTTCAGGGCCCTCCCTGGTGGCGCAGTGGGTAAAACACAGCACTGAGAAGCTAAAGCCGCTTCCGCATGAGTTCGATTCCTGCCTGTCCCGGAGGAGACCACGTGGCGTGGCAGACCTCTCCTGACCCGCCCGCTGCTCCCCTCAGCAGTGTACTTCGTCGATCTGCCTGTTCTGCTCCCCACTCTCTCTCTGGTGAAGCCTCTCGCCACCCCTGAGCCTCTGGCCTGTACCCCAGTTCTGTATGCACAAATAAATAAATCTTTTAAAAAAGGGGGGGTTCAGACAGTAATTTCCACCCTGTTGGCCTCACAAGACTTTAGGGGAGACCCGAGAGCACCCCACAGACATGAAGAGAGGGGGCAGGTGGGAGCCACTGGCCAGTACTGCCTGCAGTTTCCCAGCTCCACCGCCCAGTGGAGGTCTGAGTCAGCTCTGCGCTCCTGGGAGCAGCCTACCCCGTGGGTAAAATGACCCAACACAAAGACAGCGGCCAGGCCAGAGGCCAATTTTCCCTGGAGCCTCCGGGTATCTGCGCTTGGCCTGCGGCAGGCCCTGCTTTGCCCTGCTCTGCCCCTGCCCTCACGGCCGCCTCCGTCTGCCTCACACTCGTCCAGCCCTGGGACGCGGCAGCCAGGCTCCTCTCCTCACCCCAAACCCTCCCCCACTGGGATCTGTGCCCACAAGGGCTTCCCACCTTCCTGAGGGCCAGCCTCCAAGTTGCAGAAGAGAATCCATGTGAATCCAAAGAGAGGCAAGCCCAGTGTGAGGAACAGAAGAGTGCTCCTAAGGGCCAGCCTGAGTGAGAGTGGTTACTCATCACGCTGGAGCCAAGACCGCCAGGCTCACAGCAGTCAGGCCTTGCTCACCGGGCCTCTTGGCTGCTACCTGGTGCAGCAGCCTGCACTCGGCCGAGCCAGTCTGTGTTCTTTCCAGGATCCCATCCCACTGGCAACAGGACTGGGAAGCAGCCCATTTCCAGAGTCCCTTCTCCCAGTGAGGCTTCTCCAGAGGACCCCCAGACTCCTGATTTCCAGGAAGACCTTAAGCTGGGCCTGAGGCAAGGGGACACAGTTCCTCCACCCAAAGGCAGTCTGCTTCCTTCAGTAACTATCAGGCCTTGAAAAAGCCCCAGTCCCTCTATGGGGCCGGGTCAGAATCCTCAAGTCCACCGACCCAGAGCGCAGACAGGAAAGCAGGGGTTGTGGCTGTCAGGGGGGACTTTGCAGAGCTTAGGGGGTCTCTCTGGAATTGGGGGGGCCCTTTGCAGCTTTCTTCAGCTTTCTGGAGAATCATCTTTCTTTTATGGGGTGATGATACTGTAATGTCAGGGTGAGGCCTGCTGATGGGGGAGGCCAGGGAGGTGACCATATGGTGCAGCCACAGGTAAATGCCAACTGACCATTGGAGAAAGACACAACAAGCTCTCTGAGGAAATGGGGGAGTCCAAAAGCCCCCTACCATACCTCCACAACTCCTGCCCCATGTATTCATACTTCAGGATCCAAGTCATGCTATAGAAAGCCCACTTGGCCCTCAAAGCCAGGCAGACCTCCCTGAGAAGCTAGCCAGACCAGGCCCCACACCCCGCCCGCCTGTGTCCAGCTCCATGGCCCTGCTAGGCCTGCCTACCACCTGTGGCCTTCCTCAGTCCCTGAAACTGGTGCCAGGAAGGAGGGGCTCGAGGCTCCAGGCTAGCCAGAGGAGGAGTGAGGGGAGAAAAACAGCAGAGGCAGGCGGAAAGGCAGCCAGCCTCAGGGACACAGAGTTACTGTACTCCAAAGATGCAGTCATGTGGGAAGGAGGGCCACCAGGCCAATTTATTGTTTATTTTATTACTCTGGGTTGCTGGGCCTTAGGCCAAGGGAGTTATTTCAGGCAGAGATCATAGCACATTAATTAGTTATTAGAAGAATGTTCTTTTCTGCATGTTCTGTCTGAGATAAGAAATAGATCCTGTGCAACTACATATAATTGAACATGGACACTCAGGAGGCCAAAGGCCCAGGGATGGGACTGAAGAAGCAAGTCTTTGTCCCTGAGGGAAAGGTCTTTCCCAGGTTCCGGCTAGGGACAGGGCTGAGAGTCGCCAGCTCAGGGTAGGAAGGGGGAGGGTCAGGTGAGGGGCACCAGGGGACAGACAACTTAGCTTCTGGACAGCAACTCAAGAATCTAACTCTTAATAGCTAAAAATTAAAAAGTAAACAAATTGGGAAAAAACCACACAACCTTTAGCCAAATGATTTCATGTCTGGGAATCCAAGAAAACAGTCCAATATGTGCAGAAATATTATATGCAGAAATGTTCAGAGTGATGTTACAATAGAAAAAAAAACTAGAACAATTTAAAACATTCAAGAGACTGGTTCAATGAATAATTGTCTGTGCACACAGTGAAATATCATGAAGTCCTTAAAATAATGCACAGATTTTTTTAATGTACTTGGGAAACACTCAGGCTATAAGCAAGATAAACCTGCATACAAAATCACAGCAAGATCGCAACTATGTCGCCAAATAGCCAAAAATGCCAGAAAGATAAATATATATGATATTTAAAATGGTTTCCCCTGAGTCGTGGGAGTATGGGTAAATTTTTTCCTCTTCAAATTTATTCTTGTCTGCACTTTCCAAAATTAAAAAAAAAAAATGTTCAGTGGGTTTAAGGAGAAGAAAGGAAAATGTGTCATTTGGCTTTGGAGGCTTCTCTGTGCTGTGACCGCCCCCTACCTTGTGGGCTGCCTCTCCCTCAAGGAGAGACAGCTTTTGATGTCGAAGCTAAATTCAGTTACCGACACAAGTAGTGAGAGAGAAAGACTCTTGTACTTGGAGGATAAGAAAAAGCTGGGCTCTCTCTCTCTCCCGGCCTTCCTGTCTCTTTTAGATAAGGAATAATCGAGGGTAGTCCACTCTGCCCCTTTCTTAGACCCAGTTAACGGCCAGGCCAGCGTGACTCAGGCGAAGCCAGGGAGTGTCTCAGACAAGAGGCACTTAAACCCCACTGCACATTATAGGGGATCCTGCCCCAGGGACACTGGCGTTACCCCACTTTCTCTCCCTTTCTGCACAAGTCAGAACCTCCTTGACTGCAGGTGAGCCCCTGGGGAGCTAAGGCACCCCTTTAACTGGTGGTCCCAGAAGGAAAAGCTCCAGATAGTGTACAGAGCTAAATGCAGGGAGTGTCCGGAGGGCCAGGCAGGCTGAACCACAACCGGGGCCAAAGGAAACCTAGGAATACATGGCAGAACCTGGGCAGCCATGTGTAGTAAATAAAATGAGGGAGATGAGTTAGGCCAGGCAGTCTCACCCTCTGAATTAGATGTAAATTTGGGGTATATGTGCATTTTTCTAAAGATAAGCAGTTCACAGTTTTCATCAGATTTTTAAAGGAGGCACCAATCTTTAAAAAGTGAAGAAGCAACGGGTTACACTGATCACTGAAGTCCTAATGGTATGCAAGATCCTAAAGCTACCAGGCCATCCGCCACCGCCCCCTTCTTCAGGGGTCACTCAACTCCTCAAAACTGATGAGTCCAAGGCAGTCCACCCTACAAGGCCAAGTTCGCTCTGGTGTTCTGTCCAGACACATGTCACTGAGGGCCATGCTCCTGGGGGAGGTGTTAGGGGCACAGCGTTAGACAAAATTAGTACCTAGAAAATCAAGAACCAGATTCTTAACTTCTCTGCCTTCAGTAAACAGAGCACTGTTTTGCAGGTGCTCAGGTAGTGAAGGGCAAAAGAAGCCCCTGCTTTGAAACCTTCCACAGGAGATGAGCACCAGTGATTTTGGGGGGTGGGAGGGTCGTGGCCTTCATCACCACTCTATAGGAGTCTGACTTTCAACACTGAGGGCCAGGGGGCCCTTATGAATGTGGTGATCACTGCACATGAGGCCAAGAACACGAGGCTGCCCTAGAAGGGCTTTGGACTGTGGATGGAAGATAAGCCTGTCCTCTAAGGAGAGGGGGTCCTCATCGCTCTGGGGACAGTACGTGGGCCTCTCTGAGTCTAGGTGGACAAGTTGACTTCTTAGACCCAGCCCAAGGAATGGATGACTCCTCCCTCCAAAGTGACAGGCATCTAGCCAACCATGTCCTCCCATGTGTCTGGAACCTGTGTCCCAGGTCGGCGTCCTGCCCGTTCTCTGGTTTTGGACAATTAATCTAACCTCTATCTGGGCTGTGCACCTGCCAAGTAAAGGGCTGGAGGACAAAACTGCCAGTGTCCCTTCCGCCGCCAGAAGATATTTAATATTATTACCGAGCCATTGAGATTCAAACAGGGAAAAGAAAAATGCATTTGGCTGCTGATAGTTTTTGCCTGGTGTGGGAGAGCTGTCTGTTGGAGCTCTGCTCAGAGAAGGAGATGGATAAAAGAGGACAGGTGGCCCTGGCAGGTGGAGGGCCACCTGGTTCCTCCCCCTCCTTTTCAGCTGCAGCTGTAGAGCTGGCATGTGAATGGCTGAGCGTGAGTGGTCCCCTCAGGAAGGGAGTGAGGGTGGCAGATTCCACCTCCCATTTAAGGTGAGCTTTCTCACCCTTCTCTCCTGGGCCTTGATCTCACCAAAATGGGGAGGATGGGGATAGCTCTGAACACTAAACTGACCTCCTTAGCCAAATGCTACATTCATCAGTGAGGCACTTGGTAGGATGGGGGGGGGCGCCCAGAAATACAACTGTGGGGAGAACTGTGGACCCAAGTGCACCAAGGAGTCCATGTGAAAATGGTCCCCAAGCAGGAGGGGACAGCGACCGAGAGTGGATGCTGGCCTCAGCGCCTGGTGGCGGGCGGGCTGCCGGGCCCCGGGCGGCTCACCTGATGAAGGTGGTCTTCCCAGTGGAGTACTGGCCCACCAGCAGGACCATGGGCTTGTTGTCGAAATCTGCATCCTCCAGGGCAGGCGAGTGAAACTCATGGAAGCGGTAATGCTCTTCCAGGGGCAGCAGCTTGGTCTTGTAGAGTTTCTTGAGCCCGTCGCTCACTGTCTGGAAGACCTCGGGGTCCTTCCTCCGGCGGTCATCGGAACCCAGCCAGCTGAACATCGCGGCCGCCGCTGGTCCCCCGCGCGCTGCCCAAGCAGGAGGGCGCACAGCCCCGCGTCCGAGCGCCCTCGGTTCCGGGGGGGAAGGTGCCCTGCAGGGCGGGCCCGCTGGGCTCGGGGTGGCGCCGCCGCCTTACAGGAGCGCAGGGCTCAGACGCACCATGACCTGGGCGCGCGGCTCGCGAGTCCCTGGGGCGCCGGCGTGGGGCCGGGAACGCGCTCTTCCCCTGCGTCTGGGACCAAGTCCAGCAGCTGCCTCATCCAGGAACCCAGGCCGGAGAGAGAAAAAATATCTGAGCCGGACAGGAGGATCGCGATGTCGGAAATGAAAGTCAAACCTGCAATCAAACTGCCAGATGCCGGGGTCGGATGCCTGCGCTCCCGATCTCTCGCCTGCTCTCCCCCGCGGCGCCCCGGGTGCACCCAGGGATGCTTGGGCTTTGCTTCTGCCGGGAAGCTCTGGAGAGGCGGCGGTTTGCTCAGCCCTCTGACAGCTCAGCATCCGCAGGGCAACCCGCAGCCCCAGGCACCGGTTTAAATGCCAGCGGTGCAGGAAGCCGGCCAGCGGAGGAAGTCCCCGAGTACTGGCAAGGCCCGCCTGGCCCGCGGATCCCCGCGAGGAGAAGCTGAGCAGGGCGCCGCCATGTTTATGGGCAGGCGCCGCGCGCCAGACCTGTGGCCGCAGCTTGCTAAGGGATGCTGCGTCCCGTGGGAACGCGCCGGCACTTCATCCCCGCCCCCTGGAGGCTTGGTTTGGGAACAGCGCCCTCTCAGAGGCGACAGTGAAGGCAGCGCTGACCTCATCATTCTCCTTGCTTTTAAATAGACTTTCCTTTAGTTACTGCGTCCAATTCCTTAGGAAGACAAAATACTAATATTGGGGAGTATTTTTCTCGGGTGTGAAATGAAGAATCCAAGACCAGGTTACACAAAATGACCACACTTGTCACTAGGACTTTTTGCTAGATCTAGGTGAAGTCGAAGGAGCCTTCCTCATTCACTCGCTCTTCATTCATTCATTCATCCATGAGAAACCCCACACGTGTTAAGGATTTAGTGGCGGGCACAATTTTAGTGACTACAAATACACAATGGATCAGAAAGATAAGCACAGGCTGACTTTCCCTTCCAGGGGCTCTGGTTGAGGTCAGCGTTAGGCAGGGTATATATCTAGAGAGCCACCAGCACACAACGACACCAGTCCTTTGGGTAGCTTGACGCTTTATAGAAAACATGACTATGGACTCGAAGTTATAACATGATGAATCTATAGAGAAGAAGCAGAGATATTCACGAAGTGTAAAGGGCATTCGCAGAAGCAGGGAAACAGAAAAACCTGGTATGTGGAAGACAGTGAATGATGTAACTGGTGAGCTAGAATTTGGGGCACAGGGAGGTGGAAGGGGCTTCTGAGGCCAGGTGTGAAGGATATGTTGGCCAAGACAGGACTCATAGGAAGTAAGGACCTGATCCTAGTGTTATAATTAATAATTGCTGACATTAACTCAGTGCCACCCATGCAGGCACCAGCAAAGTTCTCAGTGGGCACTGTTTCATTTAACCTTCATAGCAGGTTCGTAAGGTAGATCATGTTATCTCTGGTGGAGGTGGGACAATTTGGCAGGTATAAGCAAAAATGGGACATTGTCTGTTGAGAATTTGTTTTTAAAGATTTATTTATTTATGCATATAACAACTGAGGTACAGGCTAGAGGTGCACGGGCATGAGAGGATTCACCAGAGAGTGGGGAACAGAACAGGCCGACTGACTGAAGTACACTGCTGAGGGGAGCAGCAGGAGAGACAGGAGAGGTCTGCTATGTTATGTGGGTCAGATCCTAGCTGTGGATCGAACCTGTGCTGCAGTAGCTTCTGATAGTTTCATAGTGCTGAGACTTAAAACCTTGCATCATCAGGGAGGCCCCTGCCTGTTGAGAATTTGAATGCAGTAATAAAACCAAACTGGAGTCCATCTGATTTAGATTAGCATCATTCTAAACAATGTCAGTGATAAAATACTCCTGCCAAGGCGATGGCTCCTGTTCATGCCTTTCTACAATAGACGGGGGCTCGATGCTCAGACTAGCAGCATTGAGTGGAAGGGAATTGTGGAGCAAAGAGGCTGGATGCCAAGAAGCCAGTTAGGAAACAACTCCAAAATATAGGAGACAACAGCAATGAGGATGGTGAAGAGGCTGTCTTGAAGAGACTTTTTGTAACCTACAGTTGACAGGTCCTTGTGCGCAACATGAGAGAGGAAATGAGAATATGGCTGGTCTAGAATGGTTAGGAATACTGTTCCAACAATTAGGGCACTCAGAAAGAGAGTAGATAGAGCATTAAAGATGATTCAGTTGGTCTGAAACACATCAAAGTTGATGTGCTGTGGAACCTCAGGTGAAGGACGAGGGTGAAGTTTGGGGGTGTCAGAGGTGGCACCGGTTGGAATCTTCTCAGGTACAGCTTTAGATCTGTCTCTTTCCTTGCCCCCTGAAGCTGATCATCTCGTTCTGAGCAATCTTGTGTTCTTGGGTGAGGAACCCCTCAGATCGATATTTTGCCTTTGGTATTTATTTTAGCATCCGCAGATGTGCCTAAGAGGTAATATCCCACATAATTAGTGGGTTACAATGCCATGAGAATGAAGCAGCCCATGGTGTTTGTCCCTGAGTATCAGCTCTGAATATCTAATTTCCTAATTTCCTGAATGTCTGTTAACACATATAGTTTGGGTCACTCGTTCTTGAAGACCTAAATCTATCTCTGTAAAAAAGAAATTGAGTAATAGAGCAGCATTTCTATACTATAGTGGTATTGAGCTTGAAAATGGAACTTTAAAAAATGATACTATTTATAACACAAACTTAGGGAAAATCTAAGGAAAGTCTTTATGTGAAAAATGGTGGAACTTTATGGAAAGACATTCTAGAAGTTCTAAATGGGAATGATCTATCATCTGCAATCATTTCACAAAGATGCAATTTCTTTATAACATAATTGCTAGATTCAATAATTGAGTTTAAATGGAAATTTGAGCAGGGTTTTCCATGGAAATTGTCAAGGTGATTCTAAAATGCATATCAAACAGTGGTGCAAGAAGAACTAAGGAGAAAGAAGAGGAGGAAAGGAAGGGTGAGGCGGAAACCGAGGAAGTAGAAGAGGAGAAAATGACAAAACAAAAATAATAACTAAGCGAAGGAATTACTAATTATTAGTCACAGAAGGGTATAGCTAGGAACACCACTGCCAAGCTGCAGGGACTAAGATGGTGTGATTTCGGCACAGAGATAGAACAGCAGAACAGTGACCCAGTAAAATAGCCAGAAAATCTGAAAACCAGACATATTGGGAGATGCGATAGAGGTCACATATACGACTATATGGTCAGGGAGGACTCCTTCAACAAGACACTGAGTGTGCCAGTGCAAATGAAAAGATGAATAAATTTGACACTATTGTTAAATTGATGGTAGAAAAGAGTTAAAAATTATTTACAGTACATAAAACCAGCACATGGACTCAAAATATGTATCAAATGCTTGTATATTCATATAAAAAAAAGACAATACTTCCAAGGAGGAAAAAGATATGACGGTTCCTTTAAAAAACAGGCCACAAATTTATGTTATGAACATAAGATGTTGAACCGCATCAGGAATGAGTGTCAAGTGTCAACTAGCGGTCATGCACGCCCATCAAAGTGACCCATGACAATTGGATGAGACCAGGTGGTGGCCCGGATGTGGATAACAGGGACCTGCACACGTCACTGGTGGGTGTGCAGATTTGTAGGAACACTTGGGCAACGACCTGGCATTCACCACCCGGAGAAGCTGAAGATTCTTGTGCCCTCTGCCCTCCGATGGCATCCCTAGACATTCTGGAGAGAATATCTCTTGCGCACATACTTGGAAGATGAATATAAGAATGTTGGTGGCGGCTGATGTGCAGCAGCAAAATATTATAAACAACTAAATTTCCTTCACCAAGAAAATGGGTAAGTAAATTGCAGCATGTCCATGTAATAGAATGAATTTCACATAATAAAATAAATACTAGAAAATTGAGCAAATGGGGGCTCTCCCTGGTGGTGCATTGGGTTAAAGCACCACACTCTGAAGCTCTCCAAAGCCACTGCAGCATATGTTTGATCCCCGCCAGGGAGCTGACCCACATGGCGTGGCAGACCTCTCCTGACCCACTTGCTGTTCCCCTCAGCAGTGCATTTCCGTAGATCCTCCTGTACCCCAGGTTTGTAATCATAAATAAATGAATATTTAAAAAAGAAAAATGAGAAAATGAGGGCACTGTATTGACCAGTGCCAAAACAGCCTGACCAGATGAAGCCAGTGAGACCATTATGCAGAATGCAGTATTGCTGTTCTGAAGTTTTACATCGTGCAAAAGCAACTCTGTTGCTCATGGAGGCATATAGGTAGAGAAGCTTTTAAGAAGAGATGAAGGAATATAAGAACAGTCAGAAAGTGGTGTCCTCTGGGCACGAAGAAGCCCTGGTTAAAATTGTAGTGCTTGAGAATCTGAGGCCACTTCCATATGAGTTCGATTCCCGCCTGCCCCGGAGGTGACCACATGGCGAGGCAGACCTCTCCTGACCTGCCTGCTGCTCCCCTCGGCAGTGTACTTCGTAGATCTGCCCGTTCTGCTCCCCGCTCTGTCTCTGTTGAAGCCTCTCACCGCCCCTGAGCCTCTGGCCTGTACCCCAGTTCTGTATGCACAAATGAATGAATCTTTAAAAAAAAATTTAAAAAAATAAAATAAAATTGCAGTGCTTTATGTCTTAAATTTGGAAATGGGTATCTGTCTGTTTATTACTTCCCTTACTCTTTTATTAAAAACATCTGGTCCTTAGATGTACAAATTAGATTTTTCCCCCTTAATTGTGCCCCAAGACAAGCTCTTTATCTTGACTTTTAAAATTATATTTTTTCATTTGTTTATTATTTAAAAATAATAAAATGAATTCCTGGTGAACCCATCATCCAAACCAAGGACTAGCAAAATTAGCAATAATTTGCACCTGCCTAGGCGTTCCTCCCTTATGTCCTGCCCCTGCTTCCTCTTCATCTCCAGAGGGAACATCTACAGGTAAATTTAACCTTTCATTCCCTTGCTTTCACAAGTATTATGTTAATATTAATGTTATCACCTAACTCTGGACACTGAAGCGACATACTACTGAGGTTTGGTGTTTAGAACCTTCCAGAAAGCCTGTTCTGGGGCAGGCGATCTACTGGAACCTGATGTTTTGCTTTCTCAACATTCATCACTGGCATTTATTTTCAGCTCCCTTTCTCATCAGTGCCTCTCTCCAGCCACTGCCTCTTCCAGTCGCAGCATAACACCCCTAGTCTGTCGTCCTGATGGTTTGGGGGTTTCACAGTCAGGCAGCTTGAAGTAAACAGAGTCCTGGCACCCCAACAGCCTTGCAGTGAGACGTCGGAGAAGCAGCTTTCCTCTCTAAGCTACCGCTCCGTTGTAAGGCAGGGTGCTTTTTTATTTTAATTTATGAAAGATGTTATTTATTTTTGTATTGAAGAACTGGGGTGCCTGAGGTGCAAGGGATGAGAGACAGAGTGGGGAGCAGAACAGGCAGAGGTACTGAAATACTGCGGAACAGAACAGCGAGAGAGACAG